GAGGTACTTAAGGCAACATACCATACCTAAGTGTGGCATATAGGCATCTGCCCATTTCTGTCTAAATGACGACATTTGTGGTCATTTCTGAAGTCGGTGGGTGTGAAACACATTCCATGTTGCAAGAAGAACACTACTTCGAGGTATTCAGTCTTAGAGCACTACGAGGATGCTCCTCTTTTGGTAAACTCGAAAACATTGGATTCTGGTTTGAATCTAAAGCGTTTTGAGATTATAAGATCCAGATTTACGTAGCGCTGCATGGCTCCTCGCTATTTCACCTTGTCGACGGAATGGCGAAAACTGTTAATGTTTTCTGCCATAACGACAAACATTTATTCTCTTGTGGAGTAGGACGGATGTGAATGGTGCGAGAAAAGGAAGTGTAGCCATCACTCTTGGAGGTCTTCGACAGACTTTCCAGTTGCCGATGTTTTTGTTGCAAATTAGTATTTATTATGCTATTTTTAAGCAAATTTCATTGACAGAGGCTTGCTACGCTTCTTCAATGCTTGATGCCCTTGTAGTGTTGGGTAATGAGATTTGTCAAAAAGCCAAAGTAATAAAAATGAAGGTGTTGTGTCTGGTGGCACGATTGCCCACACAATTTGAAGACCAATCGAAGCAGGCGCAGATGTTGGCTATGTGGCTTTGGAAACACGTGAGCCTTGGCATCCGACGGCCGATTGGAGGTTGGCTTTCCGACCGGTCGGTGCAGTAAAGCCAGCACACGCATCACGTGATTGGTGGGCAAATTCCTTCCCTTCTTCCCTCCCTACACAAGCGCGTGCAATACTGTAAACACATCTCTCTAGGCTACGACTGTGAGTATTCAATCCATTCATCGGTTTCTTTTAGAGTTCAAAAACTCTAGGTCATTCTCTTTCCGCCTGGCCCATGTGCAATCTTGGCGATGCACTAGAGTGACCCCTTTACATCCATGACCTTCCCTTGTTCATTTTAGTATTCGATTAACTGAAGATTCCCAGCTTTAAGTGCTCCAAGTATGCCTAAAGTCTTCTGGATTGACGTGGATATTGATATGGAAGGAGGATAACTGGAATGAAGAGCGCCCTGCCTAATCATTTGGAAAAGTACATTTCGCTCGGTTGGCTCCTGTGTGCTAAGGCGCAAGATGACCACTTTACCGAGGGCATTTGTTGCACTGACTCTGTGATGATGGTTGCACATGACCCCAAGACTCCCATTTTCTTGGTCAGTTAAGGGGCTCCAGATCAGTCCCTTCTGGTGCAATGGCATCAAGTACGAATGTATTTTAAGTAGACTATTAATTACTACAAGGTTAGAGCAAACCAAATGTCATAAGTACACCAGACGGAAATGATTCCGCGTCGTTGGCTTTCCTCGTCGTCAGTCCCTATGTCTCCTGCTAACGCTTATTGATGGACTCCGAAGCACTCTTTTGTGAGCATTAAAAAACCGAAGGTGCGTTTTTTTTTCATCTTTAAGGCAAATATTTGCTCTCACTGTCGCGCGAGTTAATGGAACAAGTTCGCGTTAGCAAACTGAGGTATCCTGCCAAATCCTCGTGATCGGGGCATTAAGGGGTGAAAAGGGTGCAGTGTACGTCGCATTCGCGATGACCATACTAACTGTGTTGAAACTTCAATCTACCAGATCCGTTTGTCTACGGCTGGACGTTGAATCGGTCTCCTCTCTCCCCTGCTCCTATAACAATGGCACAACCACTTCATTTTGTAATTCAAAAAATGAATGCATGTAGTATTAAACAGGAAGAAAATTGAAGTAGTCGTAGTACGCAATGACATTTTCAAGACAGGAACCTGCAATGCGTTTCCAGGGCGGAACATTTACCAAGATCGGTTCACCAAAGGTCGTCCAAATAAAGTAGATCACTTGGGGAAGCCGATCACCCACGGAATGCGGTCTTCAAGGGCATCGATAATGGAATGACTTCAAGAGGAGTTACATGATGGATTGAATAATGATGTAGTTCTTCCAATTTACATCCTCGTTCACACGGAGACGCACAACAACTATAGCAACAGTCCTATTCACATAGATGGAGAAAATTTCTCCCACAACTTCCAATACCCTCACTTTATGCACACAAATATTGTAATTGTGTAGCACAGGTTCAAAAAAATCCAATCAACCAAATCCACATTTGATGATGTGCCAACTCTTTGCTCCAGATGTTAACCCTGATGTGAGGAGAGTGAATGTAGTCACTATGCTCCTCCTCACCTCTTTCTCAATCCCTATCACTTTTCCCCATTGGGTGCACGAATCACCAAGTTGGATGGAATGAAACAAACCTGGCCTGAACCGAAGCGCCGAGTTAAAAGGGCAGTGATGAACCTGAACCGTGACGCTGACGGTCAGGGTAAGTGCAATTCGGTTAAGCGAATTTTTAGTTAGAAAACCTGATCCTTAGGCCATCCCAAAAATCCGCACAGCCTTTGCCCTCATATTATGCGTTCCGATCACAGAGGATTTGTGGCAACTTCAGCAGTGTTTAAAAGTGACGTTAGTGTTGATTTTCCCTCCAGTTCTGGGTGCTACAAAAGGTAATTACAAGTTGTACCAGTCGTAAAACATCTGAAAGAGTCGTTTTTAGAACCGTCCACAGTATCTGTCTGATGATGGCAGTCAAGTGAAAACGTAGTACTTTTCGTGTTCCACTACTAGCTATAAGGTAAGTATTAGTTGACAAGAAGAAATGACCTCAAAATGTTTGTCTGCGAGAACCAATTGAAGTTCCGACTTCCATAAGGTAGTATTGCCTTTGGATTAGTCATGGAAAAATAAAAGCGGCCAGCACAAGCCCACTCCTTAGCCAAGTTCCTAGTAAAGTCGAAACTTTAGATCTAGTTGGTCGCCAAATGGGATTAGTGGCAATGCGATCAAATAACCTCTTCGTTAAAGACAGGACTGGCGCAGTTGGCTGGCAAGGGTTTTGTCTGCAGCATCGAACAGGTTGGGCTGACCAACGGGGGAGGTTGGCTAAAGAGGGCGCTATGAACAATATTTAAAAGCAGAGGAGTACGAGCAGAAAATGACTTTGAGTGTTTGTTCAAATCTTTTAATTTTGGTTACGCCAATATCCGCCATTGTTCCTGAGTCATGTGCCGTCTTACTTCCTCTTCACAGATGTCTCAGTGGGGTGGTGGGCTACATATCATGGTACAAACCTACAATAGACTAAAACTAGCTACAAGTAGGGTGTTTAGAGTAACTGAACCACCTCATGAGGACGAAGTGAGCAGTCAATCAGTTAAAAAACTGTTGCGATGTCGTAGTCGTTGCCAAACTGAAGGCTGCAAAGACAAGGAGCCTAGCAACTGCAAAACTGGATCAACAGACTTTCTATAAGGCATCTGCTTGCACCAGCTCCTTCGAATCCCTTTCCATGACATAGCGCTGAAGGCTTGAGGAGTAGTGAGAAAAAGTGGAGCATCCAAAGCTTAATGAAATTGGCACATAGAATTGTGAAACCCTCTACAGACACCAAAAGAGTCATGTTCGCTGAAGTTCTGTTACATCGTGTGATGGATGCAAACGTGCTGTTTCAAAAAAAACCAATGAATAGGATCCAGCACCAGTGAGTGGGAGGAGGCTATAGGTAAAATAAAGGTGATGTCAGCACCACGAAAGTAATTCCATAACGGCAAAACATGGAAACACAAATCAAGTGATGCAGCCAAGTTGAGGATGGGCATTAGTCTTCCGTCGATCAACAATCATGTCTTGATTGTCTATTGAGATGGAGACACACTCTATAATTTACTTATAAAGATGTAAGGTCTTTAAGTACGGGGAAGAAGGGCTGCACAACACCCAATCGGAATCCAGATTCTTGGTGCGGACCACTGCAAGAGGTCGCAAGAGGTCCAGCATGTGTCTGACAGCACTAATCAATACACGTGACCTCCAGCGGTTTACTTTAGGACTGAAAGGAGCTAATTGAAAGGATGATACTGTGTGACACGAACCAAATCAAAGGCCCCAGATACCCCATCTACCTGCCGGAGAAAAAGTTGGAGGAGTTGGAGACGACCGCAAATGCACTCATTGTTTGCGGCAAGGGCATTTTGGCCACCGATGAGACACCCACCACCTTGGGTGTCCGCTTCTCTTCCATCAACCTTGAAAACACTCCTGAAAACCGTCGAAGGTATAGAGAACTTATCTATGCCACCGACTGCTCTATTAAAAAATACATCTCGGGCATCATCATGCATCCTGAGTCCCTCAATGAACAGGCCTCAGATGGGAAACCCATGATTGAGCTAATCACTGTAAGCAAAATTACAATTGAAACCTGCGGGACACTTCTAAATTAGGGCACTACATTAGCAAGATTTTTTAAATAAAAGATCGGAAATCCGTTGAAAAAGGACCTTCACTTCTTAAAGTAAGGAATCGGATTTTTACCAATTTTAACGAGCAAAATCTGCACCTGTCTTCTTGGTACTATTAAGTTTAATGCCAATGCAATTGTAATCCTCGAGACAGGCTTCTTTTGACACCTCGGAATGCTGCTTGACACTTACGACGACAATAGCTACACTTAATTAGGGTTAGAAGAAAAGTAAAAAGCAAACTAAAGTTCATAATCACTAAATCCCTGCAAATCAGAACGAAAATCAGTTACAACATTACTTATTAAAGACGTATTTTCATTCTTTCGAAAAAGGCTAAAGCTATATACAGTGGGTCTGATACGTCCAATTACATTGCCTAATAAACGACAATATGGCAGTTCAAGTACGTGAGACAGATGTGTTCTGTTTTGGATCGAGAACGATCCAGGTGCTATCAGCATTCACGCATAAGGTAGCAGCATAGGTTGAGTTTTCTGACCAGATTAGCATCATATACCATAGGATATGCAAATGCGGTTTTATTCTATGCCTTTGTGAAAAATTAAGCGCAAGATACCCGACGACACGATCATCAGACTCGTCAACTTCGTTCCACTGGTTTTACTTATTTATAAAAAGTAGAAAATTTATTTTTGCGCCCCCGTAGAATCGACACATCATCCCCGGCATCAAAGTGAACAAGGAGTTTGTAGTGCTTCCAGGCACCTTTGACGAGTGCACCACAGAGGGATTGGACGAGTTAGCGCGACGCTGCGAGGAATACTACCGGCGGGGATGCCGTTTCGCTAAATGGCGCTGTGTCTTCAAGATATCTGCGCCGACACCCTCGCGTCTGGCTCTCGGTGAAATTGCCAATGTGCTCGCCCGCTACGCAGCGGTCAGTCAAACGGTCAGTCCTTTGATGTACTTTCAATAAACACCTAAATTTATGACCAAAGTTAGCCCAAGATTCGCCTTTGCCAACGTAACGCATAACCACGTAAACGAGTCCAGCAATGCTACCCCTCAGAAGCAACTTAAGGAAAGTGATTTTGGGACTTCGAGTAACCAAATCTCGAGTCACACTTGTTTATAAAATTTTGCAAAATAGTATGCCACCTCGATAGTGGTCTAAGCATTCTATGAAATCCTCACACAATGGAATGGGCCTGCCAAATTCACACCAGCCCAAAGCCGCGCTTCTTCTCCCACAGGCCGGTTTGGTACCATTGATTGAGCCAGAGGTGGTTGCCGAGGGCAACCACAACATAACGACAGCCCAGAGAGTCTACCAAGAAGTTCTTTCTCACGTGTTCAAAGCCCTGCACGACTACCACATTTTCCTAGAGGCCCTTCTCCTCGAGACAAACTTTGTTCGTGCTGGACATACCAGCTGTTGTCAGACAAGCGCTGAAGACAATGCAAGAACCACTCTTGAGGTGCTTCAGCGTACAGTCCCCCCCGCAGTTCCTGGTAAGCGCATTTTTACCCTTCGATTAAATATACGTGTAGTCCCGAGTTCAATCCCAACACAAAACTTCGTGAAAATTTCCTCCTTCAGGTATCCTATTCCTATCAGGGGGTCTCTCCGAGGATGACGCAACGATGAACCTGAATACAATCAACACAATCGAAAGTAGAAAACCATGGACTATGACATTCAGTTTTGGAAGAGCCATGCACAACGCAGTTCTCTCCGCTTGGAAGGGCGTGGACGATAACGTCCCCAACGCTCAGTGCGTCCTGATGCGATTGGCGAGGGTAAGAACAAATTCCGTTCATAGCTTATGATAAATAACGGAACGCAAAAACGACGATGAGGTCGCAATCTCACCAGAATACAGACATGATCTAAAATCACCAACTCACAAACGCAAACATTGAGTGATCCCCATAGGAAAACCCAAAAGTAAGCAATAACAGCAGGCTAAACGAAGAACGATTTTTCACTTTTAGCATAATTCTGAAGCATCCTTGGGCTGCTATCGAGGCGCAAAGAAATTCCCTACCGGAGACAGATCATTTTACGTTGCAAACTTCGCTTATTAAATCATTTACGCTCATCTTAAATTTAAAGAGCGAAGATCGCTGAACCACAATTAGTTCTGACAAATAAAGTACCCCAAGCACGACACATCACCGACGACTATCAGATGGGTAACATAAAAACAAAATTTTTCGTTTTAGCAAAACAGCCAAGCTTCCATGGGGTTCTACAGTGTTCCGAGGCAAATCGCAGCACGAAAGTACCTCGAAAGAATCGTACAATGTGCATACTAATATAGCCCATAACTCCATTACTCGAGCATGCCAAATGATTTTTTGGGTTTTTGCGAGTTAAAGACAAAATAAACATGACTTTGATTCACCTTAACTGTGACTAATTGCTTTATACGACAGCCCCATTAAAGCAACAAGCTTAGAAACAGTATTTCAGAATCTGAAAAGAAGGATCAACTTCATTCACGTACGACAAGTAAATACGTCCAAAAGGCCATTTTATTGCATAAAACTACTTCTTCTTAGATACACCGACAGTGCGACCACGACGACCAGTCGTCTTGGTGTGTTGTCCACGCACACGAAGGCTAAAAACAAGGTGCGAAAAAGTCTTAATACAAAACTGAGTGTAAACTAAGCACAGTAGATTAATAAAAACTGGGACATTATTCTACTGCCAAATCGGGTGAAGTAAACCTACCCCCAGTAGTGCCGAAGACCACGATGAGCACGAATCTTTTTCAGTCTCTCCAGATCCTCACGAAGTTTACTATCCAAACCTTGAGCGAGAAGTTGTGTGTGTTTTCCATCCTCAATATCCTTCTGCCGGTTAAGAAACCAATCTGGAATCTTATATTGGCGTGGGTTGCCCATCACCGTTACAATTTTCTCAATCTCATCCTCGCTTAATTCACCAGCTCGCTTCCGGACGTCGATGTCAGCCTTTTTGCATACAACAGTAGCATAGCGGCGGCCGACACCCTTAATTGCAGTAAGAGCGTAGGTGATCTTCCGTTGACCGTCGATGTTGGTGTTCATTACACGAAGAATGTGCTGAAACTTCTCAGGAAGCATTAAAGCCTTGAAAGAAACAATATAAGCGACCAAGACCTAACAAACCATGTTTATCGTGATCCGCCTCAAAAGTTGTGCATGACCGCCGCCATCGGCGTAAAGAAACAAAGAATGAAACACCACTTTAATTGTTTGACGTAAAATTACCAATGATTAACGAGCGATTCGTTACACAGTACTTCCTATTAGAAATGCTGCTTTATGCTGCTTTTTAAAAATTTTTATTTTAACTATCGTGTTTTGCTTTTAAAATGTGGCGTAGCATCATAGCGAAAAAAAATGCGACATGCGAATGAACTAAATGCTTTTGATTCATTCGCAAAAAACGCATTATTAACGGTGATAATGTCGTCTGGAGACTTCTCTACTGATATTGGAAGGCGCATTACCTGGACTAAATACATGTAATTAGCCATAATTTAAGGAGGCTGAGACCATTATCGGCTAAGTCAAGATGTTTTAGCAGGAAACCAAGTCTGAAGATGGCAGTCAAGCGAACAAAGCACTCCATTTCCTTCTCTTCACTCTTGCGTCGCCGACGCTACCGTCTTTAAGCCTCGTCAAACATTATAAAGACATTGATACCACAAAATAACATACTTGGAGCATCTGCGCTAATCATAACTGATAAGATTGCCAATAATTTCCCCTAGAGGATGTAATATTATTTTGGGATTGCATTGTTATTGAGAGCAGTATTTTGGGTGCGAAAAATTTGAATGTAGCTGAATTTCGAAACACTGGTCTCTAGCATCCTGAGACTTCCTGGCCGGTATGAGGAGTCGGTAAGTGTAGTTGGATACAGGAATTCTAAATACGACATGAGAAATGGGCCTGGGCATGGTCCGGAGGACATCTCAGGGCCACACAAATCCTAAAGTGATCGCCAAATGTCATGTGGTCCCATAAAAAAGGTGTTATATGTTCCAAAATAGATTTGCAAGTTAAAGTAATAGACTTGATACAGTCCCAGTTGAAAAGGGTTCAGCTTAATGCAGCTTTATCTTACGAAGTACTCTTGGGAAAACTCCGAAACGAAACTTTATCAGAGGATTTACGACAGAAGCTGCTTTCGCTGTCAGTGGCTTGTTCAAAATCATGGCATTAGGACGGACATCGGATGGGGACGCACTGTTCAGTCCCTCTTTTGCGAAGCATATGCATTTCATCTCCGCAAACACTAAGAACCAAAACGGGCTTCATGCCAAAGTTGAACTCGTTTCTCGCTCCTGGTATTGTAGGCTTCTGACACTTCGCATAAGACATTTAACTGCATAATACTTCAAAAAGATACGCCCCACCGCTAGAAGGGGTATCACTGACTTCTGACGTCTCACTCATACAAGGCAATCCCCACCCAACTGACCGAACCGCAACCAACAGTCAAACATTTACTTGGTAGCAGACTATTGACACTTCACTCAGGTATCAGTGCTCTACTGTGGAACTGACAGATTGATTACATGCAAAGCCTACAAACGAAGACTCCTACCTGTTTTAAAAGCTGACAGCAACCGCATCAGTTTCGACAGTACCGATGCGTCGTTTTGAGTACCGTCCTGCTACATTCAAACGACGCTGATCCACAGTTCCTATTACACTTACGACTTCCATCCGCCTTTCAAAAAAACAAGATTATCGACCTAAAAGTGACCTCATTATGACCTTACACAAGTACATTGCCGACCCAAACAAGCGTGACGAATAAAGCCGAAAATTGAAAAATTAAGCACTGAACTGACCCCAATCCAGAGTAGCCAGATCAAGAACTGCTCATAGCACTTTGTTTGCCGAATTGTTCTATCTAGCAGTTTGTGCTGCACGAATTCATGTTCACTCTACACTCAATAAACGCGCTTAGAACAAATCGTCGACAGTGCACACAACACACACGGACACGCGAATAGATGCATAAAAAGATGAGATTTAGTAATTGGTTGATCGAGCTAGAGGGGAGAATGCGATCGAGTATGAATCTATGTACACGCAATGCGACACAACCGCCGACAAGAGCTACACATCAGCGGTAATGGTGGAGGCCTCCAATGAAGCGTTTGTCGAGGTCACAGCCTCGGCTTTGGTTACCCCTGCCTGTGAAGGCAGCGTGTGCGTCGTCTGGAATGCAGCTGGGGGGTTGACAGCGGCGGCGGCAGTGGTGGCGTACGGGAAAGCGGGAGTAAGTGACGGAGGTGGGGAGAGAGGTGTGGGAGCTGACGCAGTGCCAATTGGCACCAGCATTGGACCAAACATCTGAGGTTTGGAGGAAGAGGGCAGAATGATTGTCGTAGGGTCGGCAGTATTAGGGCTGGCGGTGGCGGCTGGGGAGGTAGAGTAGCAGATTTGGATGGGGGCTTGAGGTTGCAGTTGATGAGGGTCGCCAGAAAAGGCAGCAGCCGTTGTGGCGAAAGCTGCAGTTGCCGACTGTGCCTGCGGGTGAATCTGGATCTGCGGCAGAGTGGAAGTAATTGTCGTGGTTGCTGGTACAAGAGCTGTAGTCCCGCCGCCCGAAATTGCAGCTGTTCCGTCCACCTAAAGCGATTATACCCACAGATTCCCTTCATGGTTCAGTGGTTTATATTCACAGTATGCATTAAGGTTAAAGTAGAATAATAATACAGTCTTCTGATTGACCGAATGGGAAAGACCAAAAGAGAATGCAACAGTGCAAAATTTTAGCACTTCAAGATAAACTTCAATGATGTGTCAACTTAGCGAGTCCACGATGATGCCACTGGTCTAATAATTTGGCAGTTTTTATTGCAGTCAATAAAGAGGAACAAGGGCTTGAAAGTAACCTATCAATTACGAAGTTAATGAACTTTATAACAATTATGGGATCGGTGATGAGCACAACCATTTGAATAGGTTCTCGTGCATAAGGTTGTGCCAAGAGAACTGCCCACCGTGCTGATGTAGATGGTTCCATTCGCATCAAAAATGGACGGCGGAGGTTGAGAGCAGAAATCTTCGGAGACATTAAGACCTGCAGCAGTTACAGCAACAGCAGGATTTGGAGTAGGAGTCGCCCTGGTGGCCTCTGCAGTACCCGGCGATCCCACAGTGACAGCAGACGCCGAAAGAGGTGTTGAGGTGGGTAGGCTTACTCCTTCCCCTCCACCAGCGTCGCGAGACGCCTCCAACGATGAACCCGTAGATGCCTGAAGTTCACCGTCTTGGGAGAGGAGAGACTCGCTTGCTATAACAGCCAGAGTAGATAAGAGGTGGGACCGTTTTGATACTTAAAAGTTAAATGCACTTGGGTGCTCTAATGATGTCCTTTCCATGTCTCCAGCCCAACATTTCCAGCCTCCCGCCGAATGCTACTTGAGCATTGAATTTTCCTCAAAGCAATGAAGTCGACAGAGAAAATGACGAGAAAATGCTGAAACGGACTTACATTCGGGATGGACCGCTGATTCACCGGAGCAGACACCGCTACTGTCATCGTTTCCAGCACTTCCACCTGCATCTGCGGCGAGAATCTTCCTTTGACCGCCAGTAGGCGATGCTTCAGTGGCACTGGGATCACTAAGATGCTTGACTCGGGTTCCCTGAGAGGGAGTAGCAGCTGCTGCTGCGGGGACAATGGGATCGGTCGGGTGATTTGCCTGCCTTCGATGGCGTCGCGAGTTTGCTGAACCACTCGCTGTGCCGTCGCGAAGCGAAAAGCGGAAGGGGCGATCCTCAGAATGAATGCGACTAAAGAAGCGCCATTACGGCGATGTTAAAAAGCGAAACATGATCGTGCAATTATGAATTTGATTGCCAATGACACCCGATTATTTATAGAACGGTCACCACATTCTGAACTACATAAAAATAGTGATTTAGATATCACCGTTACTTATTCAACACGTAATTGAAAAGATATTTTCAAGCAGCAATTGGAAAAATACGAACAGAACCTTAGAATTGACTTTTGGGGAAAAAAACAATACAGTCTTTTCCAAATGTTTCATCTATTAAGTGATAAAGTATTCTCTGTAACATTCAAGTACCAGCAAAAGCTTTATAGAACTCAAATTTCTTTTTCAATTCAATCCTCCAATGGAAACTGCTTAGAAATTCCCCCAAAACCATAATTGGCAGTTCAATGGATAGAAAAGTGGCGTGGATGGAATGATCTTTAAAATTCTCCCACAAAAATTATCCTACACCGTAATGGCCTTTAACGCATGAATCATTCGAGCTATGAAAAGTACAAATGAATCGAATAAAAGAGCCCAGCTATTGGTACTAACTGAACTGCACAATCGTATTTGGTTTCACACACATACAAGCACTCAGATGGAAAGCATAGAGTAGATCAGAATTGTATTTTCAATGAACTTCCGAAGGCATTTCGCAACACAGATCACGGACCCTAATATGACACTCAAAGGCCTTTTGCGTCTTTCGCGATAGAGCAGTTGTTGGAAATCATGGGCCTCAAAGGGAGATAAACTTTAAAAGTTGCGATTGTAGAATGGTTAAAGGGATAGCAGTGGGAAGAGAATAAGCTGAAAACATGAGTGTAATTCCGCCAAAGTCATCGTTGGGGGATGACCGACGAAAAGGGAGGAAATGTAAGCAGTACTATGCCAAACGTACATGAAAAAAAAAACCTGATTGCATCATCGAGAGCCGTTGTTGAATTTAAAAAGGGGAATAATTTCACAATTTCGCTTCCATACTGAGATGGCAACTCAACATATATCAAAGCACCTTCTCAACGCTTTCCAAAGGTTGGTTGTTAATCTACATTCCTTTTGTATGCTAAAAAGGAACACTAATTCATTGATACATAAAACCTGGAAAAGTGGAAGACGACAGGAAGCCTGCATTGGTGGTACAACTTGCACTAAATGATGTGCACCTGAGCTTTCGCCTAACTCCAAGCCTGAGAAGAGATAAAAGACTTACATATGAGTAGAGAGATGGTGAGGCTGGCTGAATCGACGATCGCACACGTGGCAGCGGTAGGGCTTCTCACCGGTGTGTACGCGCATATGGACGACTAGACGGGCAGCACGAGGGAAGCCCTTAGAGCATACCGTGCACACATAAGGTCGCTCCCCCGTGTGACGCTTCACATGCTCGTTGTAGACGGCAGGCTGGGAAAAGGTCTTTGTGCACACCGAGCATCTGTACGGACGCTCACCTACACAGTTGGATGCATTCCTTTAAATTTTCTACACTCAACGAGCCTCCTCAGTCCTTCGGGGCAAAGAATGATTAGAGAATGAAAGAGTAATACACGCTACTGAGTGAACGGTATGCTTTACGCTATAGGTATCAAAAAACCTTTGATCCTCAGGCGAAGTGATATAAATTCTGCTTCTGTCTTGGATCAACGCAGCATGGTGAGTGAAATAGAAGGATGACTGTGGGTTTTATGTCTTCCCAAAATGAAGTACTTTGAAATTCATCTGAGGCGACTTGAAAGCTGAACATTTGAAATCTGCGTAAAAGACATATATGAGCAGAAAGCAAATGAGAAAGATGACTTTCACATTGTTAACTACTATGTAAAAATAAAAAAAAAATTACAAATCATAACAAACACTTCATCATTCTTCTAAAACTCCAAGTGGTGAATGGCTTACCACTGCTAATCAGCAGCCTACTGAGGCAAACAGACCAAAAATGTAACTGATCCAAAAGGCAATCACACAGTTAAGAAAATACAACCTGACCCCTTTCTGCATGTTGCTATCACTAAACAGAGATTATGTGGCCTTTTGAAGGGCTAGTAATTGGTTTTATCACCAATCAAGATCGGTCAAGTTCATGAGTTTGGATTGGATTTGCATGCTTTGCGAGGTTTAATACTCAAATAGCGTATCGCTTATTTTAAGCATTCTTTTGCGGCAGATGGATGCCTGTGTATAAACAACTACCCACGCAGGTTGCAGAAACACGCTCCAACACAACTATCCAGAGCTCAACGGAAAGCTGGATGAAGTATTGCAAAATGGTCTAGAGTACTATTAAGGGTGAAACAGTGCAAGGCTGCAATTATGATACTCTACAAATGAGCATAGAAGCCGTTTCATTCAAATAATAAAATTGGAGGTTAGACTAAGTAGAACTAAAAAGCGAATGCGCATAATGTGCATATGATTCAAGACAAGTAGCAGTAACAAACCAGTATGGATGCGTTTATGACGATTCATATTGGGCCAGTCATTGAAGAGGCGGCCGCAAAAACAGCACTGATAAGGCTTTTCTCCCGTATGAATCCGCTTGTGCTTCTCCAAGTAGCGCAGAACCCTAAATTCTTTGCCACAATGCATGCACTGATAGGGGCCACCACCAGTAGGCCCACCACCACCACCACCACCACTATCACCTTCATTTCCAGAAGTCGTCTTCATTACTACTACAGTTGCAGGTGTCGTCGCTACTACTGCTGTCGTCGAGGGAGCGGTGGCAGCTACAGATGCAGCGGTGATAGGGACAACGACGCTGTCAGAGGAGGTCGTGGTAGAGACGGGTGGTGAGGAAGGCAGGGACTCAACGGGAGCTGCAGAAGCTGTGGCAGAGAGGAAATTGAGTTGAGTGTTGGTAGAAGCACCAAACTCTCCAGATACGTTGCTAGTGGTGGAGTGGGTGGCAAAGATAGCGGGAGGTTCATCAGCGCTCACTCGGGACAAACATGCCACTGGGTCCGGCTTCATATCAACGCATTCGAGGCCACTAGCAGTCTGAATTGAGAAGAATATATTAGTTGTAGCCTATCGTGAGAGGAATAATGTTTGGTCGACTCACAATAATGTGCCCATTGGGGCCACACGCGGAAGAAGCAGACACGGCACCAGCGGTTGTAGTTATGAGTGGAGGACAGGGGTCACACGAACCATCAGGTTTTGAGGACGTCGGCGGCGGTGACGACTGTAAGGCAGCTGGATCGGAGGACTGAGGGGTAGTTTGCAGGGGCAAAATGACTGGTTGTGCAGTGGAGACAGGAGCGATGGGAGTGACTTGTGACGGTGGTGGCCCTAACGTGCCTACTACGGCACCAGTTGTAGTGCCACCGTGTGGACTAGTTATTGTCACTAGCGTTGCTGCCCGCTGACTAACAGCTGAAAGAAACGGAATTTCAACCGTTAACCTGTGCTAACAAAGATCTGACGTCGCGGAAGCCAGAAGCTTACAGGAGAAGAGAGGGCACTGAGGGCAATCTTAGTTCATCCAACGGACACACGCTGAAATGACAGGCGTGGACGTACACACGCACGCACGCACGCAATACCAACACTGAAGGGGATCAATAGACACACAAGCCCATAGCCAATCCTCTAGCGAAAGGCAGACACGCGTGCCTGTCCGCACTGGGAAAAAGCCAGACAGGCAAGGGATGAAGAGAATAAACGGAAGAGGGCACCTGGCCCTACCTCTTTCTTACCAACTATTAAACCATATCAACGCTTCTAGTACAAAGAATGACTGCTCCAAGCACTTAGAAGTCAGACGTCTTAACACAAAGTCAGTAGTTACCTCATGGTGTGGCAATGATTTAACCCCGAAATGGTGAATTCAACAGAGTAAAGCACGTTTGTGAAATTTCCAAGGCGAATAAGGAGCACTTGGATGCTTGTTGCTAGATAGTAAAGGCACCAAAAAAGGATTAAAAACGCCTGCCCAAGCATCCACCGAGGGAGAAAGAACATATTTTCAATTAAACATTTACTTCATAGTCACGACTGGTTAAATGCCTTCTACTCTCAAGTTAGCACATCTTACGCATAGTAAAGATCAGACGCCTATGTGGACCCTCAGTGCGGCAGTCTTCAAGAATCGAAGGAAACTTTGCCCGATAGGAGTTTACAAGGTGAGACGGACAGGATCCGATGTTACAATTGTTTTAAAAGAGTTTGGCGCTTCGATACAGAGGAAGAGTGGTGAGATGCTGATGGCTATTTCACTCATGCAGAAAATCATTCTACCACACTGCAACCTCTACACCGACTAGGCACCAGGCCAATTATTCCGTCAGCATTACAAGCCTTTCGGGTATGTGTAATTCAATCGGTGTAACGCAGACATCCGCACTTTAAAGTGCTTTCTGAACTCTAGCGGCAGAGCGGAGACATTCCTTCTGTTGAAAAACTGCCGTTTTCTCGAAGAGTTAATGCTTGTGTTTTACACTTTGACAGACAGTTTCGTCAAAATATGAAGACCCGTGAGTGAAGAGCACATTTGACGTGCAAGTTTAACAGAAACCTTTGATAGTGATTTGGGAATTCCTCAAAGTATGAATAGAAAAGAGGTAAGATACGAGTCTTGGCCTCAAAAGACAAAATAATGCAGCATAAGATGGATAATAACTTAAGAGGGAAGATGGACTTTAAGACACCAAAGCAGTGGGAAAAGAGAGTGCCTGGGTTGGAAGAAAAGTAAAACCTCATTGCTGTAAATCACCCAACCTCATGATGAATAAGGGATGGCACTCGGCTCCCAATGGTGCAGTCAAATACTATTTACCGCCGACATAAACTGATAACTTTTGAAGCTGGAGCATGCTTTTTATAGTGGAATTAGTCGGACATCTGGTCTTGATCTCAGAAATGATTTCACTGCATATAGCCAGCATTTACATAGGTTCAAACCCGGTAACTTCACGAACGGGAATCAAACCGTGTGAAACAAGGCTACAAGATACGAAGAGTGTAAATTCTAGCGACAAAATGAGTGAGGAGTGAGGTGAGTTAGGAAGAATCCAAATTTCGGGAAGCAGTGTTAGACAAACATCGACCCCAGTATTGCAAAAGAACAAAATGAAAATTGAGCTAAAACAGCTGCAAACAGAGAAAACATGCAAAACTACGATTGCCAAATTGACAACTTTTATTGCCTAACGGATGTCTAAGACGAGTTAAAATGGTAGAAAGAAATCGAAAGTCAAAGGATTTTAGAGGCAAAAAGTACATATTCAACGAGGAAATCAAATGAGTCATACAATGCACAAGTTTCGGTGAGCAAAAAAGCGAAAGTTAATAGAACTTACCAAACTGATTAAGCTGGGGGAAAAAAGGAATCGCAGCATAGCCTGCCGAAGTAACGGTGCGACTGGGGAACTGTGAAAGAAAACAAATCTAACAACGTGGGTTTAAATATAAATATAATCAACCAGATCATAGCGTCCATACGTGCCATTTAATCGAAAAACATCAAAATTCGAATGAAAACTCGCAAAACCAAGAAACGACGACATCGTGCATACCGCTTCACCAGATGACAAGAATGGATTATCAGATACAAGTTCCTCGGATATCAAAGGGGCCCCAACGAATGATTGAGCACCTTGAACACCAAAACTCTTGGCTGGTATAGCTGTGCCGGTGCATTGCTCTTGACGCAATCTGTTAAATAGAAAAAACAAAGCAATCTGCCCAAACCTTGATGACAGTGTGTCAGTGATGCGCTGCTGCAAAATTGAAGATTCTTTCAGTGCAGCCGTAAGCTTTGGAGTGCTCATTTTGGGGACCAGATTGGTGGCCTCCCTCAGCTAAAAATATCAATTAGTAAATGTACATCTTACGAGGCGCTCGAAAACAGAATCCGCGTCTAACATTTGCACCCAAAACACGTCCTGATGATTGGTCGACGCACAGTACTCAAAGAAACCGGTGACCTCTGAATCATATAATAAAACGAAATTGGCAAAATTTTTTAGAAATATAAGTTTGATGCTTTAACATGCAGTGAAGCAGCAGAAGACTATAATTGCTGATTGCTGATTAGATATGCCAAAGATTCACTTAATGGAAAACTAAATTTTTTTTGCTCAATGAGCTACGTTTTATTTGAACTAGTGGTCGTAATGTGTGCAAATGCTTAGAAGGCGGCTTACTTGGTGATGAGGCATTAGTTAAGCCACGAATGGGACTATTGTCAGAATTGTTGTTTAATCAAACAATTTGCTATCTAGCAATTCTCGACTAATCAGCATTGACTTTTGTTTTTTTTCGGTCCTTATTGTAGCGTCTTAAGATTTCCCACTGGATGGGAGAATATATTAAGTTGAGCCGATAACATGTATTCCAGGAAGAACAAATGATTTGGCCTTAGTTTGGTGCTAGGTGAATCTTAACGTGTATGATGAACATCAAGTAACCACACAAACGAGGTACTATAACTATTTTGGTATATTTGGCCTACCTGCTTGTCACTATTCCTGACTTGCCATATTTAACCTTTCGTGTATGCTAACAGGTGTGTTAAAATTGTTAATTCGATTGCCTGATCCTTCTCTTTGTTGAAATGCCAATTCAAACAATATCGGGAGTAGTCACTGAATTTCTATGCAACTCAGAGGAAGCCTGGCATAACTGCCGCCCTTTTAAACTTCTAAAGTGGACTTGAGCAATATTCCAGCCAAAACCTGGTTTTAACACGGAGATTCGCAATCATCAATACGCCATTAACAGACCGACGGACTCTAAGGTAATGGATAAAGTCAACCGTCTGTTTTCTGCTTAGGAAATAATTATATTCCTCTTAGTTCCATTTAGATTATCAGGATGTGGATGAGGCAGAGTCCTTCCATGTCTTCGGTATAAGCTGGCGGATACAACAACAGAGTAGTACAACTATATTATTGATTTCTAGCAAAGAATCAATTTTCTTTTAAATACTTACTTGTCACACTTCAAACGTGAGTAAACTGGATAAAATAGTCCTATTTTTATGCTCTTGAATTTTGGATAACTAGTGAATATCCCATAAGCAAGAGCCGTACTTCTTTTCCATTTTACATGTGTAGTACAACTGTAGGAACCGAAAGATTCCATTTGATAGTGCAAAGTCGTAGCATGGCTTAATAGCTATATCCGTTAGAAGATTTAGATTTGGGGCTTGACATGGCTAGCAGGCCACTCCACTTGACGATAACATAAGGTCCGCCAAATTGACTGCGATTCACACTGGTGGTTGAATAAGCAGAGCTTTACATTGATACTCTCCTGCCGCACATCCTGCATCATCCATCACCACGTCTTCCATGCTCCAAGGATTCACCCACGAGCCAACTAGCCTGTCAACCACGACAGGCATCAGTGATTATGCGACTCAAGCAATGCACATTGTACATTGTCATCAGCTTCAATAATCAATGGACTAGACGTCGTAACAGTGGTCTGCAGGAGATGCGCACCAGGGCAAATGGGGTCGACCAAAGTCCCGCAGTGGAAGACCATCTAACTCAATGTCATCGCCGACGTCTATGCGCGGATGTGATGAGGAGAACTCCTAAATGAAATTTGCTCAGATCGTTCATGGTGGTGTCGTTGGTGGCTTAACAGTGGAACACGGAGATGGGGCAGATGCCAAATTCAGACACGAAACCTTATCAGCCATTAAAACATTTGGCGCCTAACCAAAAACAAGAGTCAAATCTCGAAACCCAACGGGATGATAGACTGTGACTAATGGTTGTCCGTCCCTTTTAGGTAGAATCATTGACCATCATTTACTTTTTATCAGCACCTTCCGTTTACTTTGGGCGTAGACATTTAGTGTTTATTATTTTAACTTGACTTAGAGACGAGCAGTAAGAGCGTAGTAGAAGTTGGGGAAATATTACCATCTACAGAATGGTCGGTTGACTAGTAAAATAAATCAAGGGCATGCACCGACGTAGAAATACAGGCGAAAATACAGAAACACAGCTGCTTATTAGTTAGTGAGTGTAGTAGTAGTGGCTATAAAGCTATTAACTTCGACGACCACTTCTGTAGGTGCGAGACAATCAATAGTCCATGAAGATTGGCCCTTCTGCTCGAGGTTTCACGGCATCCGAGCGAGACACGACATTTTTTCCAAGCAGTGAACACGTAAGCACATGATTTGGGGCGGGTTGTAAACAAGCAGTTGATTAAACCGATTTTTCTCTTATTCGTACGTCGTCAGCGGTGTCCTCAGTGCCTATTCCTAGGCTTCAGCTTCAGCGAGTCTCCGCCTGCACTGGGCCAAGGTAACCAATCCACACGGGACGGCGTATTCAACCTTCCTATTACTGGCATGAACCACCAAAATCTGTGCAGAGATCAGATATTTGTTTCCATCAGGCAATCGTTTGGATG